TGTTTGTGATAAAATTGATATCGAAATTTTTTTCTGCAAAATTCAGTAAGTTTATTTGAAAACTGATTGCGTCATGGAATTTTGGGATCTGCTCTTTTTGCTTCTAAAATAGATTGAATTGAGATTTTTGTTTTTTTTGATAAAAGTGATTATAACCTTGCTAGCTTTTTTTTTGAAGAGAAACCAGACCAGCAACGGTTGCACATTTCATATCATCCTCTAAAAAGAATTTTTTTCATTACGATGTTCAAAAAAATATAAATTAAGTTCTTTTTTTTTTGAAAATGTCTTTCTTCTCAGTTTGAGAATGTTTTCAGAGTATTCTTTCTTTATGAATGCTTCTGCAAAAGAATTGGAGGTTGCTCTGATGAATGACAAATTTCGGAAGTAGTGGATGACTGAAAAGTTCGTAGCTCTTGGGGAAAAATTGATTTCAAGTAGAAATCTCGCTGTCAAAATATGAATGTGAGTTTTTGTGATTTTACAGTCCAAAGTTCCTTTCGATCGGGATCAATCATGCATTAATGAAAGTTCGAAAAATAAACTGAAAATAAGAAAGTTTGCTTTTGAATCTATTGTACCAATTTGATGTTTTCGTAAGGTTCAATCTAGAACTAAGAAAATGCCTGGTTTTTCTTTTCGAAGTTACATGTGGAAGTGCAGGTAACCCCTGCAAAAATGCTTTTTATAACAACATTTTTGAGTTTCAGATTGGTTTGGATGTTACGAATCAAATCAAGCCGGAGTTTGAGAAAAGAATTTTGAAGAATTGATTTTCATGTGGAGTAATGTTTTTCTTAAGCGAAATATTTGGTTTGTTCTGGTATAAGGTCTATTCTGAGTAGTAGTTTCTTCCTTAATGCATTTTTATGATGACGAGAAAAAACTTCTAGCAATTTTTTTTTGAAAAAAATTATGAAGAGTTCCAACTTTGTTAGAAACTTTATCTCTTTCAATTTCAAAACCGTCAGCAGAAATGTTCTCTGAAAACAATCCTACTTCACGTTACGCCAAACACTATGTGAACATACTAAGTGGTGGGAATGATCTAAAAACTACTGAAAGGGAAAAAAATGCTTGTCTGTGTTACAACCGCATTTTACATATACCAGTAATTGCTTGAAATTTCTGATGTAGATCAAAAGAGAAAAGAAAGTGCAGTGTTTTCGCAAAATTGTTCAGCCTCATAGAAGCTACACCTTTTTTTTAATATCAATTCTGTATTTCAGGAACTTTGTGAAGCAAAACCCTAAATGTAGGTTGTGCAAAATTTGTAGTTTTTTTTTTCAGACTTACCTCAAAGTTGGAAAATTGTCAGTTCTAAGCAAATGTATATGCAAGCACAGTGTAGCTGATGCATAGAGTTGCAATATTTTAGATGCAGGCGTCCCCAAGAATGAAATTTTCGAGAGTGTTATGAAATTGAAATGGATAACCTAGCGATTTTTTTTCGCTTTTCTTGTTTTTCTTTTTTTTCAGGCATTTTAAGAAAATTTCAATTCGAAATTGGCATCAGGTGTTCCTCATCAAAGTTGAGTTGAAAAGTGTATGATATTGATTGAAAGCTCGAGATATTACTAAGTATACGTAGTTGGAACAAAAAAAACTGATTAAGAACATAACATTTACAAAAACGTTGAAAAAAAAATCACTCGCAAAATTTCAATCATTCAAGGAAGTTTTTTCACTCATTTTCTTGGTGAAAGGACGCTAAATTTTGATTTTTTTTTATTGTAGAATTCTAGGGCTTTTTGAGCTGGAAAGTATACCAAAATTCTATCTTTGAGGAAATGGTGCCACCGCAAATGTGACAACAATCTTATTATTTTTATATCTGACATTTCCAACCTTGGAGCAAACTCGATTGCGCTTTTCTTTTAATTACCATCTAAGTCTCAATCAAAGGACCGATGAATTTTAACAATAAGAATTTGATGATGTATCACTACATATAAGTATAGCTTAGCGAGTATGAATGTTAGGAGCAGAGGATGTTAAGTAACTCAGATCGTTAGATTTTTTTTAAAATCTGTACTCCAAAGTGTGAACTAATCAAAAAATTTCAAGTTCAAGCGTCTAAAAATCAATGCGTATGGCGAAGTATCCAACAGAATTGATTGCATTTATAAAGCAAGACCCGCTGTTTTTGCATTTGCGTATATTAGAACGCAATTAATTGGGTACAATATGGAAGCGCAATATTGTGACTATAGATTCGAAGGACAAAGACTACTGGATTTTTTTTCAAGCAGCAGCAATGATTGTCATCTAATTTTTGATACATGGTGACTGTTCCTCAAAGTTGAGGTATCAATCTACATATGTAAACTTGAAAAAGACGATGAGGATCTGCTTTTATGCTTAGATGACATGAGATCTGATCTATGCATGATGGATTTGCTGGCGTGATCAGTTATCAACATTGTGGAACTATTGGCAACGTGTAGATAATCTAACTCAGAAGTTGCGTAGTCCTCTCATGTCTTTTTAGACGGCGGCTGCGATGCGATCAAAAGTTTCACTACTAGTCTCCGGATTGACTTGTAGGAGGCATGCGCCGGGACCGATGGTTGATGCATCGGTGTGGATGATATAGGGTTTTCCTAGAATAGGAAGCACTAAAACAAGCGCATCCACTAGGGCATGTTTTAATGCTTGGAATGCTATTTCTTACTCCTTGCTCCAAAAAAACTGCATTTTTTTATGCGCAGTTTGTTCAATGGATGGGAAATTGTAGCAAAACGCGGTAAATCTTCAAAAGTACGATCCTGCACTAAGAATGATTTGAGTGCTATTATTATCTGTGAGGCGCGGAATATCACCAAAGCTGTCGAAAATTTTTTTTTATTGATCTAGACGTATATCATTTTCATGAAACAACAAACAATATAATTAGTGTTGTGTATAGTATGAATATTTCTTAATATTTCAAAAGGTTTGAAGTGGTTTTGTATTCGACAGCAGATGGTAAATATTACGATAATATAATTTGCGTAAGATATACGGCAGCGGGACATCGGGCACAACTGTTGTTGTTGGCAGTATAAGTTGCATAAGAACAGACGCTAAGGGGTCATACTGTGCAACTGCTGCTGTTGGACGTATACCATGATCGTAAAGGATTAGGTTACGCAATTATTAATCCTGTTCCAAGGCTTATCGCGACACAAAGCAGACGTATTTGCACTATCGCAGCTGAAAGGTCATAGCGCTCAAATAATATTAATTTGTCACGAAAAAATTTGTCGCGGGTCACATGCTTACAACTTGCGAGGGCAGCTGCGTTGCTCTATAGCCAAAGGGGGTCACCGCGCGCGGACAGTAGCACTGGGTTTTGCTATATTTCCTGAGAGGTCGAAGCATTACGTTTTGTCGACACTTCCCAGCAGAAGTTATCTGCAGTGGGCCAGCAGATTTATCTTTCTGGGTCTAATACTGCAGTGAATTTTGTGCTAGCAATTGCGAACAAGTCCATTGTCTAATTATAAAAAAGAAAAAAATAAAATAAGTTAACAAAAATTCACGGAATCACGGTTTCACGGATTCACGGATCACGGATCACGGAATCACGGCAATTTTTTCAAAAAAATTCACGGATATGCAATCACGGATTCACGGACTCACGGATCACGGAATCACGGATCACGGGAGATGCGAGCGCTTTGCGAAAGAAAGAATTGACAAAAATGGGACTGTTCGCAGGACTGTTATTTTTTATTTTATTTTACTTTATTTTATTTTAATTTATTTTATTTTATTTTATTCCTTCTGAAATGATTAAATATTTTCACTGCACACGATTATTATAGATAAATTAACAAAACAGCTAGAACTCACACACTCGCTTTCATTCGTTGTTGAGTGACTCCATCCAGACGGTTGGACGATTGTGGCAGAGGGGAGGAGGGGATCGAATATTATTTACCATATGGTTGATTGGTTGATTAAAAAAAAAATTTAATTTTAGGATTTGAGAAAAAAATCTTCCCGGGACTTCCATGTCAGGATAAAGGTTCATGACGCCTTTACCTGATGTGTAGCGGGTTTACATAATCCTTACTCTAATATTTATTATATAAGATATATACAAGAGAGAAAGGGGAAAGGGGGAGAGGGCACCGGCTCCTGCCGACGGGCGGAGGTCACTGCCAGAGGTTGGCTATCCTAGGCCAACCTCCATCCTAGGCAGCTGTTGGGGATTAGCTGCATCCCGACAAAACCGCGATATAGAATATGTAAATTAGCTAAAGAATTTTGATGAGTAAAAAGGATGCTAACCCGTTGTAGTTTCCATTTATCAAGCTATCCACTAATTTAAGAAGGATTTTATGAATCCAACCCAGATGAGTTTAATTTTTTGCCTCCAATGGAAAAAAATTCAGTCCTCCTTTATTGCCGTCTGTCAACTTGTCCAATGATTGATTTCCTTCTAAATATGAGTTAGTTTTGTCGCTCGAGAGACTTTGGGTCACGCATGCTATGTAAATCCAAATTCCTGGATGTAAATCTACATCTTTATTTTTTTTATACTGTTATGGTCCATTTTAGAAGATGATATGCCCTTGCGAAAAAAATTCGAATTTCCAGAATTTTATTTGGGATACTGAGCAATAAAGTGTCATCTAGTTACAAACAAATGCCAGAACATACTGGAAAGAAAACAAGAAAAAAGAAGGAAGAAGGTGGAGCTATGCTAAAGAACTTCTTATAGAACTGGCGTTTAGCGATTCTCGAGGAGATATTGTTCTAAAGAATACTTTTCCTCCCCGTTCATTCTTTAGAGACTTAAAACCTCTTAAGGTTATTATATTTTAAAATCATCTATGCTCTCGTTTAGTAATTTTGAACCATTATTCTTTTGCCAATCTACTGACAATAATTGCAAGTCAAAAAAGATAAATTCAACATAAGCATATCTGATTTCTCTATGCATCGTGTTCTGTCTACTGAACCTACAAGGTATGCCCTCCATTCCCCTCATTTATTTCAAATCTATTAAGATCAACCAAGAATGGCTACCCGTACTAATATGTTCAAACAAATGGAGCGAGTGAATAGCTCATCCTCACCAAGGATCATGAATCCAAACTCGATCAAGGAGGCTCTGTTACGATGGGTGCAATCCAGAATTCACGGTTATCCAGTGAGTAGTTTATGGGATGCCCTAGGCTATCTGAAATTAGCAACTTCGAATTTTTAGAATGTAAACGTGACAAACTTCTCTTCATCGTGGGCCGATGGAATGGCTTTCTGTGCTCTGATCCACCGATTCGCACCGGATGCCTTTGACTTCGACAAGTTGGACCCCAAAAACAGACGACAGAATTTTGAGCTAGCCTTCAGAGTAGCTGAGTGAGTTTAGTTTGATATACTTGAAATTTGTAAAGACCCAGTGAACTTATACATATCTATTGCTACTGAAAGAACATGAAAAAGAAAGGAAAAAAATCCGAAAAAAGGCTATCATTAGATGGGTCCGGAAGTTCGTGCCTTTTTTAGACTCAATCTCAAATCATTCGAAATAACATAGACAAACATTCTAAGCGTTGTTCTATGCAAAATTTCTTTCTCTTTTCAGCAGTGATGTTTTTGTTTGAATTCCAATGAACTCTATTGTTCATTCAAATAATTGCCACGATCTCCAGCCTATGCATTTTACGTATCCTAACTCTGGCTATTTTTAAGAATTTTCGTTTAGAACTTTTGACAAGATAAGAGTAAACTAAATGCTACAAAACCCAATATTTTTGGTATTGATATCTGGCTTTACAGTAGTTTTAAAAACAAGTTTAAAAGTTCTCACATTTGCGAAGTCATAAAACATACAAACGTTTCTATGAAATCCTCGCAAATTAGAACTTCCAAAGTTCGATTGTGATTAAACACCAAAATTATCAAACAATATTTCTACCTCCTCGAAATATCGACTTTTGAGATTTATGGGTGCAGCCTGGGATGGATCAAACACACACTTGATTTCCAATTTTTTTTCTAGCTGGAAAGTCCTCACTTTTTTTTCTGTAAAGTAGCAGTCACACAGTCACACTTTAAATGTGCACTCTTAGAGTGCACAGTAGGGTCTTGGAAAGAACAAACACCCAACCTCTGCCGCTTCGGCCAAATTAATTTCAGGGTTTTCTTAAGTTTTTTTATATACTACCATTTACACTTGCGCAGCGACGGTTGCAGATTTTTTCGAAAGTCAAAAAAAGCGATATGGTTTGGGTGACAAAAGAAACAAGAATTTTGCAACAACATTGATGAATGTTTACGGCATCGAACAAAGATTTGGTTCATAATTCATAAAAATATTAGCTTTGTGTACGCTTAAATCAAGATTTTGATGAAAGAAAAACAAATTAGTTGGTTGGTAAAATCATTCTTTCGTTTAAACCAGATGTTGCGATCTATGAATAAATCTATAAATAATTTTATTTTCGACAAGATAGAAATAGTTACATATTATAAGCTTCTTTGCAAAAGTTTATTTTGCAGGGAACATGGCATCTGCCCGCTACTCGAAGTCGATGATATGATCATGATGGGTGATCGACCGGATTGGAAATGTGTCTTCACCTATGTCCAATGTTTCTATAAGCAGTTCCGGGACCATCCATAATTTCTTACTTTCATGCATGTTTCACATTAGAAATTCAAGAGCTCCATGAGCCTCTTCTCAGTCCACATCAATATTGATCCTTTCTCGGGAAATTTGTCCAAATTTGCATATTATCAAGTAGAAATTTCTCTAGATTGCTGTGTTTAGACGTAATTTTGTTTGTTGATTGTGTGCTTGTGCATCGTGTTTGTGTTTACTCCATGGTCGTCGTCGTTTTCTCTACTACCTGTATATGTCGACTATCTGTTGATTCGTGTCCGCTCGCTGTCTAGTCTTGGCATAATTGACTGCCTACCGTAATCCATACTGTCGTGGCCCCCTGCCTACCGTAATCCATACTGTCGTGGCCCTTTTCTTCACAGAAATGCACTGCGTTTTATAGGTGAGCATTTCACCTGGCTGCCAACTTAACTCGCCACGAGGTTTTCTTCTGCTCCCATTGTTCCGCCCCCTATTCTTTTATTCCATATCACTACTCTTTACCTAGTTCAAATTTCTATGTGAAAGTGCGCTAGGAACCTCTATAGTGGGTCGATCTGATTGTTGAAGCTGGAACAGATGTTAGTCGTTTGTTATGAAAATATTCATTTGAGTATATAATAAATAGAATCATTCTTAACAAACAAATCTTTCTCAACAATTCAAATCAACAAGAACAAAAGCGCAAGTGCACAACACACAAGTCAATAGGTAACAACAAATGCAAAAATCGCAACTTTGGAAGAAAATAACGAAAAAGTTGCGTCATTAAGAAAAGCGTGTCATGAGGCTGTTCACGAGTCCTACAAAAATTCATTTCCACCTTTCTTATGAAGTTCAAGGCCTACACGATAATCATGGATGTATTGATCTCCATTTCGCTCCGACTACCAAACCCCATGTTTACATAATATAAGCTAGCTAGCTTCCCCAATCGAGCCTGGGCCATTATTTACCGAATGAGAAAGGCGGCATGAAGTTTCCGATTGTTTTCATGAAACTTCCGTCTGTTTCCATTCTCACAGTCTATCTCCTCAATCATACTCCCAATGTGCTCTATTCTCCTTCCCTAAGCACCGGTAATAAACTTAAAACGGGACAGTTTCATTTTGATTCACCTTATCCTCCTGTTCCTAGGACTAAGTGAACATTAGCTCCCTGTCTACACGACTATGCTATAATATGACAGCGACTGCTAGGCTTTCATTTTCCTAGGTGTATGCCAAACAAACCAGTAACGATAGAAGAGGCCACAAATCACGACAAAAAGTAGCCTATGAAATCTGCCATGCCTCATCGGAGTTGCCTCATCGGAGCATCATCGGAGTTTGCACAGGGGGGGGGGATAAGTGAGCATGCTAATTACAACATAGCGGAGACAAGAAACTGGCATATAGAAATGGGAAGTTTTTGTATAGAAGCAGCAAATCTTTGCATGGTGAACATTGGAAGAGCAAATCCAAAAAGGTGATTGATGAATACTCTGCAAAAGGCTGAAGTTACACAGCTTAATGTTCCCGGCTGCAGAAGAAGCTTTACACAGCACGTTCAGGATTGTAAAATGACGCAAGTAGAGATGAGAAGTACACAGCCGTAACATAATCGGTCCATTCAACGTGGGAACTACCGTTCTATGTGAGAAGTATGAAGAATTTTGCAAAGAGATTGTGACAAAAGCTCAAATTCCTGCAGCAGTTACCACCACCTTTTCTCGCCGCCTAGTTCTCACTGGCCGATAGGATTCATGATTATTCGTCCAAGGTCCAAGCGACTTATTGGCGTAATAATCCATTGGATAGTGTGAAGATGGAAGGGCGATCTGAAAATTCTACATAGTAAAAAAAAGACGTGTGTGTACAAAAGACGAACTTCATCAAGGGCCACAGCGAGCTCAAACGGCGACAAAAGAGGTCTTGGAAACTCTACACCCCAATCAATGGACAAGCGAGGACATGCCACTTGCACCCAACTATAATAAAATTAAAAATAAGAATTAGGCTAATGGGAAATAAAGCTAACCAGTCGACTTCCTCGAATTTCGCTAGCTTATCTGGGAAAATTTCAGATAACAAAACTCGCATAAACTTCTTGTTTTTGGCCTCTAACCGCCGCTCCAGTTCCTGTAAAAACAGTAACAAACTGCAAGATCTTACTGGCTAGTCACACAGATTGAACACAGATGAGTGAACAATGACAATGTCTTGGTTCCACTTTCTGATAACTTTTGCAAATTTTTTTGCAAAAAAAAAACTACCATTTACTAATTAACCTAGGGGCACGAAAAAACGGATAACAGGAAATGGCGAGGGAAAAGTACCTCTACAATCTTTATATTTCCCTGGCGACCGAGTGTTCCTTGAATGATACCAAATACAGTGCACTTACGAGCTATATCTATTGCTCCTGAAACATAAACTGTGGCAACTTTACCCCTTACACGGGACATAACAGTAAACACTAACCTTTCCTATTCTTCATCAATACGTCGAAATCGTAGTGCTCTCGAGTAAACTTTCTCGAATACGGATCATACTGATATGCTTTCACTGATGGATTATGAATCATCAGAGACTCCAAATGGAATCTCCCGTCACCAAGGTATCTGAAAATAGTGATTTTAGAATAATTCAGGGAAGCGCAAACGTACACAACAGCGTCGCAGCTATCGCCCAATTGTGGCGAGGTGCATCCGAGAATTTCCCCAGGGCTAAGCGGTTTGCACTGAGGTAAAATAATCTCGAGTCCACTATCTTCAAGAGCCGCACGAGCTGACTGGATTAGAAGAGAATCAATACAATCCAAGGAGAATTGCAGGGAATAGCTTACCTGAAGAGATGATACAAACTGAATAGTGCTAACCAATCCAAGTTTGCATGGAGGCCTGAAGTTGTCGCGAATGCAGTCGACAAAATGACTGATGTTGATATTTATGCTCACAAAAATATATAGTAATGCTATTCCTTCAGTGTTCTGGATAGGTACAAGACAGCTGTGACCATAATGCACAAGAAGATCGCAGCCTAAACGGGTGAGATTCGAGCCGCAAATCATTTTCACTGTATAACCTCCCTCAATACAATATCATTGAGTACTACATGCGCAGCGCAAATGAAAAAAAGCCGCTTCTACGGGCCCCACAAGCATCATCAAGTCATACTTGATTGCTTAGAAAATACCGTTCAACAAAAAATGAGCGTCAAATCTGAATTCGGGCCTGGTTTACGTATGTTGAAATCCATGAAGATTTAGTAAGCGTTCAAAATGCGCAATTACTGTTATCAGACGTTTTGAATGGGAGGAGAAGACAGTGGCGGTCCGGAAGTCTGTGGGAGGGAAGAGAGGGACAATAAAAAGTTCACAGATGAATGGGCAATTGGTGACCTCCTTCAGGTACAGTTCTACACTTTCATCGCCCTCTCCTCTAATGTGAGAATATAGAGAGCAGGCTTGTACCCATTTTTAAAAGCTAATTCAAATTTTTCAAAGCTTTTATGAGTATTTCAAGTTGTTTACAAGTATACACAATATTTTCACACTTCTATAATTAAAAACCACTACCAAAATGCGACCCATTCACGGAGGGATACTCTCGAACTGTCACCCATCTTGATAGTCACCCAGTTGTTCAGTTGATGAATGAAATAAATAAAAGGAGAAAAGTAATGTCAACCCTGTTCATAACTCAAAGACACTACATTCGAAGCCAAGTGGAAAAAGGATACTCAGGCTTGTAAAATAACGAAAAAAAAATCAAGAAAAAAAACTAAAAAATACCATATTACGGATAAAAATTGCAGACCTAAAGATTTTGCGGTATAGTCATCCACACAGCATGCTCCATAAGTAACATCGCCCATGATAACTATTGTGCAGTCGGTATACTTCTCCAGAATGTCCGCGATTAGACAGGAATACATGATCAAACCTTCAGGAAACTGTAGCGCCACTGAAAATAGAGATGAACGAGTGAAATAAAAAGGGTATGAATTATTTAATCATACCTTGTTTGCTACCAGTAGAACGAATTTTCCAGATTGTTTTTGGGATTTCGAAAGTATAGTTTGCAGGAAGCTGGAAGACAAATTATGCCAATTTACTCGAATGAAAAGCTTTCAGTACTTACGATTTCCATATCTGCTTGCAGCCGTTTGTCGGCAGCGATCTCTTCTATTAGGGCCGCAAGCCGTGCAGGCCCCACGGCCGTCATCGCTTGTCCTGAAATCAATCTGTTATTTCCAAGACCCAGAATGATGCACAGAAATGGTTGAATCTACGGTTTAGTTGGATTGATACATGATCATAAGGATAGATTCTCATGTCGATGTCTCCTCGTAGGGGATCGTTCAGACCGCGCCGGTACCCGTCCAAACCTGCCGAATTCGCCCAAACCCGCCCGCATACGTCCGAATCCGCCCGAACCCGCCTGAACGCCGAAACTGCCAAAGCGCAGCAAATATGCGTATTGCCATATTGGAGCACGCGTGGAATACCGCGCGAGTGGTGCACATATCTTAGTCACACTTAGGCACCCGCCATACTTGATCCTCTTGATCCGCTTCGTGCAAAACGCGCGCACTTAGCAGTCTGTCATATGGCGCCGCGTAGGTAAAAAGGAACTAAGCAAATTCGCAGTACGCGACGTCAAATGACAGACTGCTGAGTGCGCGCATTTTGCAAGAAGCGAATCAAGCTGATCAAGAGGGTCAAGTATGGCGGGTGCCTTAGATAGGTGCTAAACTTCCCAGGTTCAACCGATTCATGCGGTTTACCCGTTCGCTATTGGTCAAATCCTGACCAACAGTGAATGGGGTGAACAGGATGAATCGGTTGGATCGGGTAAGTCTGGCCCTACCTTAGCTGAACGCATATCTGACCCTTTAGCAGCAGTTCCGGCGTTCAGGCGAACTCGGACGTATTCGGGTGGGTTTGGACGGATACTGATGCGGTCTGAACGACCCCTAAAAGCGAGAAAGAGGTTCGACTGTAAGGACTGCCCTGTATCCACCTTCTTAAAAACTTTAGCTTCCGTACCAATGGCAACTATTTTCGTGAACAGCAGGCGAAAAGTATACCAATAACTAAGGATACACATACGATATGGCGTTCAATTGCATCGCTTACTGCGGTCCAAACAAGACAGTCGGTGATCTTGTCCACATAAAAGCTTGCAATGATAATACCCACTATGCTCATCAAAAAATGACCCGAATTAGTCCAGTCGATTCTAATTTTTACTGCACCCCATAAAAGCTTATGTAACACTAGGGGTGATCAAGTCCAGTTAAGCCGTAATTTAGGCAGAACTACGTTGATATGAATTCCACGGATGACTGAACAGGCACAATTTTTCCTCCGGTTGCACGAAATAGTTTGAAGTATCCGAAACCATTCAAAAAAAAGCGAGAGAACTCATCTGAGGAAACAGAGTAACCCGGAAAAACAAAATCGAGTGTGCGCGTTTAGCCGACAAGATATGACCTCGTACGTGATCACACATCCGAAGTTTTGCGCGTCAAAAAAGTTCGGGCGTTTAATTTTTGAGCAGCTTCAAACGCCGTAAAACGATCCTAATATCAATATCTGTTTGACTACGCCTAACACGTCAGTGCTTGTAAGCTTATCTCGTTTATAAAGTTTGGAATTGCAGCGAGAAGAAGACTGTCGATATTTCTGTCCATGCACTGTTAGCAGTAGACAAGTAACAATGGAGGACACTAACTATGATGATCTTGAGGATCTTCCACTAGTCCGACCTTCCATACCGGAAGTTGAAATTGAAGGTATGGCAATCACTTCTTTGCCCAAGATCATCTACAAATACTATCATGTTTCAGAACGGGTGACTCGAAAGAAGGTTTTCGCGGTTGCAATCCTTCTCTCTGTTAATCTACTGAATTATGTGGATCGTTTCACTATAGCCGGAGTCCTGGGTAGACTGCAGGACTATTTTTACATGAATGACAAAGAAGCTGGAATATTGCAGGTGGTTTTGATAACACTGTTGAAACTCCTGAGCATGAGACATGCTTTTTCAGACGGTTTTCATCGTTTTTTACATGGTTTTTGCTCCTATTTGTGGATATCTTGGTGATAGATATAATCGCAAGATGATAATGATTACTGGTTTGACCATTTGGATTGTTGCAGTGATTCTATCAACTTTCGTTGGAAGAGAGGTTTGCTAAATTTTCTCTCCTTTCTCTTCCTCCATTGTATTTGCTTATTATCTATTCAAATGACAACAAGGCTGTGCAAAAAACATAAAACAATAGCAGATGTAATAGCTTTCTTTGGGCCGCATCCTTTTTTCTCGAATTCTCCAATCATTTCTTTCTTTGTTACTCTCTATGTGATAGTTGCCAGTGCATTCTTGTTTCTCAAGGCTATAAATTACTTTTTTCATAGCCTCCTCTAGATTGATGTCTTTCAGCAGTTCTACCTCTTCGCGTTTTTACGTGGAGTTGTGGGTATCGGTGAGGCATCATATTCTACCGTTGCTCCAACAATCATTGGTGATATGTTTTACGGATCTTTAAGAAGCACTGCCCTCATGGTTTTCTACTTTGCCATACCTGTTGGAAGGTGATCACACTTTGTTTTTCTTTCCTTCAAGAAGTGAGTACTTTCCAGTGGCCTCGGCTTTATCGGCGGCTCATCAATCGCTCTTTGGACCGGCAGCTGGCAGTGGGGTGTCAGGTAAGTGCAAAACTGTGTAGAAAAAATCTCCAGTCGTTTAAATGTCTCCCTCTGTTTACTTACCGTTAGTCACTATGCCTGTTCATGATTTCGTATATGCAATCTTTCACTTATTTGCTTGCATGCTTGTAAATTTTTTGCGATTTCCACCATCCATTCTGCAACCAATTTTAGGTTTACCCCTTTTGTCGGTCTTATCTTCTTGATTCTTATCATCCTTGGACTTGAAGAACCCGCACGAGGGCAAGTTGAACATGCCGAGATAGAGCCCAGCACGATGCTGGAAGATCTGAAGTACTTTGCTAAAGTGTGAGTACATTCTGACATATATGTGACTTGTTTTTCAATACTTTCATTTTTTGCAGTCGAACATATCAGTTAACTACCCTCGGATTCACCTCTGTAGTATTTTGTACGGGATCTGCCAGTTGGTGGACACCTCAGATGATGACCTTCGCTTATGGAATTCAACATAATCTAGACGATGTCCCGAAAGATGAAGTGACGCAGTCAGTGTGTTTATACGCGCAACATTATGTCTTCGTACTTGTTCCTTTTTAGCATCTCAGTCACCTTTGGGGTAATCACTTGTTGTGCAGGAATCATTGGTATCATAGCTGGTTCAACCATAGCCCAGGTGAGCTTTCATGAAGTTTGCGAAATTCATTTTGGTGCGCTCGAACATGCAATGAATGTTTTGCTCGTTACCCATGTTTTTCAGGCGTGGCGTGAGGGCAAATGGTGTTTCCGCTCATCACATAGGGCAGATCCTTATGTATGTGCTGGTGGGTCCCTCCTCGCTGTTCCTTTCCTGTACATAGCCCTCCTTGTCGGCAGTCACTCGCTAAATGCGGCGTGGGTAAGTTCGATAGTTCACTCATTCGCTTGAATTGGCCATGGTCCGTTGTTTTCATGAATTTGTAGTCTCTTTGCAAAGGATACGTCTAAGGCATTTTAGATCTTCATGTTTTTGGCGGTCACTAGCATGTGCTTCAACTTCGCGATAAATATGGATATTCTAATGGTGAGCGTAAAAGGAGCAACTACTTTTTGTATTCGTTCATCTCATATGTCTTTTCATCGCTAACTTAATAGCACTTTAATTTTGTGCCTCAGACTGAAGAATTTTTGAAAAGGCTTTGCTGATTTTTTTTACAGAAAGCGTCTCTTTTGCACTCATTTCTTGGTTCACGAATTTCCAGTTTTAGTGTAAATGTTGCAGAGTCTTTTATGAACAGCTAGATACTTGAAGCTGAGCAAAAGTTTCGCTTAGGCTTCTATTAGTCCATAGATTTTGTATCTCATTGAATTACTTCTTAAATTACTAACGATAAGAATGATTATATTAGCACCTTTTTGATATGTATTCTTAGTATGTGATCGTTCCGAATCGCCGTGCTACAGCAACTGCAATCCAGTCTTTATTCTCACATCTATTCGGTGATGCCTCCTCACCATACATCATTGGATTCATCTCGGATAGTATAAGAGGTATGCTAGGTCTTTCGAGACGAGATATTATGAAATTGAAAAATTTAGGCGATCGTACTACATCCCTGGCGAGGTATTACGCCTTACAATACGCTATGTTTTTACCTAATGCAGTCTTGATAATAAGCATAGGGTGTTATCTGTGGGCGACCTTTTACGTTGTCAACGATCATCACCGAGCCAAGGAAGATATGCACGGTCAGTTGCATAGCTTATTTTCTTTATTTGCAGTTTACCTATATCTGTACATTATTGAACTTTTTACTGAGTTTTACTAATTAGCAATCACTATCAGTTTCAGTAGAAGATGAGTGGAGTAGTGATGTTGAAACATTAGCGTCGAACGTTCGAAGAACGCTCAGCGACACGGCTGACAATCCTATCGAGTGATTTGACCATACTAGTCTAACTATAAACGCTTCAGGTGAGCGGTTCGCTGAAACTGAAATGACTGAATTGTTAAGTCACAAATGCTATTGATCAATTTTGCGTTTCGATTCCGGTTGGATATTTTATGCGGTATGATGGGTTGTACGGCTTCAGCTTGGTCTTGCGCTTTTGGCACGTGCTTGCAATTCATATCACTGCCCATACCTCTTCACTTTCTTTTCTTAAAGCTTTCCTTTGATGTCCATGATTTGACTTGCTACACTCCAACCCCGCATGATGGGCGTAAAGGGAGCTTTACATTGGTTCCGGAAGAGCTTTAATGGCTGTGAAAATAGAACCTGTTGACGATATCGAGAACGTAATAAATAGCCGTATTTTTAACCACATGTTTCCCGTTTTATGTTGACAATACAGACCTTTGAGGTCTAGAAAAGTTCAGAAAATCTTATTGCAGTAGTAGTATAGCGAGGCAAACTTTTGCGAACTCCCCTACTTTTTATTTAACTTTTTTTATTTAACTTTATAAAGTACTTTCTACATAACGTTCTAAAAGTGTTTTAATATTATATGTCGCTAAACGTTTGCCTTGTTGCAAGTTTTGGAGGAGACGCATTTTAGGGCCGCATGCACTAACATCCCCGCGGGGAGGGGATCGCAGCTTAAAAGAAAGCTTTATATTTTGAAACTCCAGATACCTGGATTTCACGTTGTGTACCTATCCGTAAGTATTCCTACTACCCTTCACTATGAACATGTTGAACAGGAGCGAGAAGCTGTACAAACCGCATTTTCTAGCTTTTGTATGATACCTGATGATCCCCGGTGCTTTTCTTTAAAGTCATTTTTCTCTCTCCGAAGTTAACGAAAACCTCCAAAGTTGTGCGGATTGTCTAACCCGACAGTGCTAAACATGTTGCTGATAAGAACAAATGAGTTTTGAAGTCATGAAATTTTCGATGATCCACAGGTCGAAATTTGTGGTTTACCGAAAAATTCGACTTTTCAAAAACTCATTTGTTCTCATCAGCAACATGCTTAGCACTGTTGTGTTAGATGTTCAGTACAACTTTAGAAGGTTTTCGTAAACTTCGAAGAAAGAAACATGGCTCTAAAGAAAAGCACCGGGGATCATCAGGGACCATACAAAAGCTGGGAAATGCGGTTTGTACAGCTTCTCGCTCCTGTTCAACATGTTCATAGTGAAGAGTAGTAGGAATACTTACGGATAGGTACACAACGTGAAATCCAGATATCTGGAGCTTCAGAATATGAAACTTTCTTTTGAGCTGCAATCCCCTCCCCAGCGGGGAGGTTAGTGCATGCGGCCCTTAAACTCGACAGCAAGCTCGATTAGATCCAATATGAGATGCTTACTCCTCTTTCGTATCTGTCTGCTGGACATTCTTTCATTGAAAGTGATGAGCTAATCGTGAAGAAAGGTTTGAGAAGGACAGACTCTGAATCAAGGTGCTTCGCCTATTCTAGATCATCTTAGCGTTCCAGAGTTTTACTGTTGCGTCTATACTGCCTTTCCTTTCCAGCCATTGCACATCCCATGGTCGCAGTGTAGATTTTTCTACATATAAACTGGAAACATTTGTCAGATATAAATACAGCCGCCGCGTTTAGAAATTTCCAGCTACTAAAATGCAGCTTTAGAAACGGGTAGGAGTGCGAGTGGTGTGAAGGCTCAGTTATCAGCGTTGTATGGGTTTTTTTCTTGAAGATCCCGTTCACATGCTTGCCTGTGTGATAGATTCAATGTAAACAAAACTAGAGATTGGATGGCTTCCTGGGTGCGTAATGTCGTCCCTCCGTTACTGCGCCTATATAAAGTTGTAACATGCGATGAATAAACTTATTTCTTCAGGTCTATGATTGATGCATGTCTGGATACTGGTCATCACTACCACCCTTGCAACACCTTTTCAGTTTAGAGCGGGTCCGATATATTTCACTAGACCCTGAGCAGACAAAATGACTCTCTAGCTCAATTTCCTAATCTCTGTAGCAATATAGGGCATTCGAAAAATCGTGACGATGGCGCGACCGCGCGGAACACGCACGCACTCCCAATCCTTGCTTTCTGTCTCTGCTCAAATAGGTAGTTTCTCTGCTTACATATGTTATCCTGGTACTGGAAGTGACTAAGCTTAGTGTTGAGGTGCTGCCTGTTTGTATCGGTGTTTTATCCTTCTGTGTGCGCAAAGACCGCAGTCAACTCGTCGTCACGATTTCAAAAATGAATCGTACAATCTATATTATGATTTGAGTGTATTACAAATTCTATTCAAAACTTGTTAAACTTGTAAGCCATATTTTGTTATCACTCACATTGCTATGCGGAACATCCGGCAATGTTCATTAGCTACTTCTCTGTTGCCTTGGCAGTACGTCTAGATATGTTCTTTCACCTAACTTCTTTCGCTTTTTTCATCAGAGTGTTTGTATGATATTCGGAACTTTCAATTTCATACTTTTTTTCGATGCAATAAATTTTCTAAGTCTGAGTTGCTTCTATAGATTGCTTTTCTGCATTTGTATACTTCTTATGTTCACTTCACGTTTACTGTTTCTGATAATAAGTAATTACATTCTGCTAATTATTTACAGTTGTTGTATGCAGAGGCAGCGAACGAACTCACTACCCTCAGGAAGGAGCGATCATGGTACGATCTTTCTATTTGATTTTTGTTACTTTTGAGGTGCATCTTCTCTGTCTCTTCCAGAGTGCAACAATCCCGAGCTTCGATTCGATCAAATTCTTACTCATTTTTCTTTCTTAAGAATTAACATTGATAGCATCATACTTCCTCAAGCAAATGAGCTCATAGAGCGATTGTATAATGAAGGATCATTATATGGGTAATTACTCATCCATTTGCCCCGGTCACTGTTTTTGATGTATTTGTTTCTAGGTTCAACCTTGAATATCAATTTCCGTGTCTGGAGAGTATCTCAAAGTCGCTCAAAGCAGCCGTGAGGATACCGGCTAAGAGTTTCACAATGACTGAGATTCAATTTCGGCATAAGCGAGTAGTCTTGCTTCGCATGAATCAAGACATCATTCCTTTTTGGAATCGAAAACATCTGATACTTCGACTACACGTACAGCTAAATACTCGCGGGAAGTTTTCGGTAAGTTTATTTTTGTGCATCAGTCCTTTGATTCTGCGGAAGTCGTTGTTAATCCTCCTTTTCTGGAAAGCAACATTTCCTCTTTTTTTTCTATCAGTTAATTTGCTTGAATATCTGCTTAGGGAATCTAGCTTTTTTTTTGCTTTGTTTTGTGTTGATCGTACAAATCTTCTTTGCACATAATACTGAATTTTGAGAATTTTCTAACAAACCACATTCAGACTCGCCTGCTTGCGGAATGCAGTATACCTCTGGTCGAACTTCTGATTCCACCATTTTGCATCTGTCGAGACTTCAATTTCAGGCCTGCTAGAGGAATGACCTTTGAGGGATCTGCGCTGGTGAGATAAAAGGCTCTATCACCATCGGTTTTGTATTTTTTTTCTTCGTTTTCCTGCAGATTCGAATTGATTTGGGAAGCCGCGACAGAAAATTGATGGAAACCTTGAAAGAATTAAGAGACCCCTTGTTGGAATCTACCTATGTAGTACATGGTGTTGGGTTAGTGAAACCACATCTTGAATTTTCCTACGAAGTTCTTGTTTAGTACTGAAAATGTCGCCGAGAGTCAGCGTAAAGATAGCGCGTCACAAACAAGTGAGAACCGACCGCCGTCAAGGATTGCCTCACCTCGTACGTTAATCATGTTCATATGTTGTGAAGATTCAGTCCAGTTTAGGTATCACACCAAGAGTTGGCGCAGCACCTTTCCGTGAGAGAATCCCATCAAACTTCACCGATACGTCGGATTCAGTTTTCGAATATCCATCGAGAACCAAACCTCATGTGCAATTGTCACAGAGACTTCCAGAGTCTGGCAGAGAATTTCGTCCTGCAATAAGATCAGACACATCATCGACAGCAAGGGAGAGAGAAAGGCTTACTCCACAGGGCAAGTCGTTCATGCAGCTTACCGTGCATGAAGCAAGGGGTCTACCACCAGTTCAGGATGAAAGGTATGTGTCACCAGTGATTGGGGGCAGGAATAATCTTACTTTTAGAAATCGCTATGTTTCGCCAAACACCTACGTCTCTGTTCTTGGGAGGGATGGAGAGCTAAGGTCTTCGATTTGTGAAAGATCCAGGCGTCCATTGTGGAACTGGACCTCACGTTTCTACGTCTGTGGAGAGCGGCGTAATCTTCTCGTCAAAATTTTCCACCGAGATAACGAAGGAGATAAGGTGGGTGAAATGGATTTCTCTTTCACTAAGGCCTAATTTGAGGATATCAGAGATCCTGACAAATAAAATGCGTCGACTTTTGAAGTTTCGTAAACGATAATTTTAGTTGCTGGGATTTGTGTCTTTGCCATTGCCTATCGAGGAAGCCAAGCGAGTAGATTACGAGATGGTAGATCTCTCTGGAAGAGCAGGTGCAAATGGAGAAGTTCCTGTTTTAACCGTGAGTCCGTTTCTTTTGGTTGAAAAATTGAGAGAGTTAGAACCCCAATTTGAAGCATGTCCTTACATAATCAAGCATTAGAAGTAGTTGAGGAATTTTCGCTGCTTGCGAAGAGTTTCCAATTACTCCTACAGATATTTTTCTAGTCTGGACAGAAATCTGACTAAGATTTCTTTATCAGCTATCACTCATTCAACCGTCTATGAGATGGCTGAAAGAATAGAGCTATGTCTTTTCTTTTCACAAATCGCTGATTTTACAAAAGAAAAATAGACGTAAAAGCGAAATGTTGTAGCTTGCTCGCCTGCGGTATCTCACGAGGGAAGGATATCAGGTCGCAGTGGCGAACCGAAATGATATGCATACCATTAGATGCGTCTTGATGAGCTGATTCCAAATCTACCTTTCCTATCTGCTATGAGCTTCTTTAGAAGAAGCTATGGGCGTTCAAATGTGTGAGAATGTTGGAATTTTGATGCGTGATGCAAGAACTAGCTTAGGACTGATCAATTGGCATGGTTTTGAGTACACTGGCTACAAGAAATGCATACATACGCCGAACAAATGAGTAAGGGTCTTTGAGCAAGCAGTTCTTGAAGATGTGGCACTGAATGTTTGCTAAATTTGGACATCATTCAAACGGCCACAACTTTTTCTAGAGAAGCTCGTAGCAGAAAGGAAAGGCAGATTTGGAATCAGCTCATTAAAACGCATCTGACAATATGCATATCATTTCGGTTCGCCATTGCGATCTGGTATCCTTCCCTTGTCAGTCCGATATGAAGCTTTTTTCAGATGTCCATGGAAACATATGACCGAGATGGTAGTCGAACCAGCTCCTATAGCGATGGTTTATCTGCAAGCTCGAGAATTACTTCGCCTCATATCCGTCCATTTTCTAGTTGCTCAGCCCGCGAGACTTCACCGCGCCAGGAGCCCATTATTACTGCCACTCGTGAAGAGTTGGCAGAAAATTTAAGGTTTGTATATTGGTCATAGTGTGTGGTTTTGACTTTATGAAAGGCTTAGGAAAAGTTCTGAGAAAATTCAAGTGCTCATATAGATGGATCCGAAAAACTGCTTTTTTGAATTCATACCCTGCGATGTAGAAGAAATACGTTCTACTCAGTTAGGAGCCGCGCCATGGCTGCAAATTTTGGTTCAAAAACTCTCCATCCATCAATAAAATCAAACTATCTTCTTATTATTTCAAAAATCTCTAAACGGATCATTTTTCATAGATTTATCCAATTTGAATTTTCGATATTTAGCTTGATTTCGATTATTACAAACCTTTTACATACACAAAACTTTTATCCTTTATGCACTAATGAGCTTTTTGCAAGAGCGTATATTAATTTTTGTAAATTCTCTTCGCTCTTTTTTCGTCCTTTTTTCGAGATTCCCCTGATGTTAATTTCTAATTCCAGAAGAAACATCGCAGAGCTCGATCGACTGATGAGGAATATTAAGTAACGGCTAACTCTGACTGTAAATAGATGTTTCACATTTTTCGTATAGTTAACCATGATTGATCTTTAACTTATTGCTCATAGAACAACTTGCCTCTCGTTACAGATCTTCATGTTAATCACTTGTGATCTTCAACGTTCTTACTTGCATTCACTTGCTTAATTCACTTTAATGGATTGCTCCTATCTACTTGCTTTATTCACTTAAAATATAAATCGTACATAAAGATCCTGAGTTGGTAGCAACATACTGTTATGTTAGGCCACGGTATTATTATCGCGTAGAAGTCCCCTTAGAACTTTTCGGTTACCCATGAAAAATTGATGCAAGAAAGCTAAACGGTATTCAGGACATGCATGCGCGCATATGCACACGGTCGTCAACGTGTTAACACATTGACGACCATGCAAATATTTAGTTGTCTGCCTTCTGGGACCAAAGCCTTTTAAGACAAGCCCACATTTTCCAACTATAATTACGCATACTGCCATCTACACTACACTTACAGTAGATCTGAAAAGCTGACAAAAACAGGTAAAAGTCATCCCTAGATTCATTGCAAAAGAAAGCTCGTGAAGTGAGTTCTCCAGGACGGTAGCAATTTTAACAAAATGCAAGTTTTGACACACGCTGTGTCAAGCGGTCCCACGCGGTAGTCGTTGCCTGCGGTCGTCAATGTGTTAATGGAGCAGTGATGTTTATCAGAGCACTTTATTCGGGTAAATATCCTTAAGAAAATCATATCACTTCTATTCACTTCTATTCAAAGGCTAGGAAGATTTCAGCAACTTTTATCCCCAATGTAGTTTTTCCTTTTTTGCTTCAATAAACGCTCACAGCTGCTCGTCCGCAGCTAAGAAAAGCAGATTTACAATCAGCGTTTCATGATCCCCGGTATGGTAGACCCCACCTAAAAAGGCTACTTCGACTAAATGTGCTTACCTTGTGAGTTGAATGATGCTCTTGATTCAAAATTCATTCAAAGCGAAGTGAGAAATGACGATGCCACGCTGTCTCCTAACTCAGATGCTCGCATTTTGCACAAATCATGAGTGGTGTTGCACTTATGTAACAGCTACGAAACATATGGGTTTGAATTTAGCTGTAGTGTATCGATTTCAAAATGGAATAGCGTCAAAATGCGTTGAAATCAAACTCTGACCTTCCATGAATGCTATTTAGATTTCCGAAAGCAAAAATAGTACCGGCTATATGAAAGTTGGAAACAGGTGTTCATGCACGTTTTGCGACTCCTAAGAATTCCTCACAATGCTGAGAGATTTCCTCCAGACAAGATACTCTGAAATGAGGAAAAGGATTTAGAGCAAAAGAGAGTCTTTCTGAAAACCTTGTCTAAGGAGGCTACCCTATCAACACTATTCATCTGGAGCATACGCACTTTCATCTCCTCGAGTACAGGATCTTTTTTCTTACCACCAGATTCTCGTGATTTTGCAGTGACATGAGCAAGCAGCGATTTCTCTGGCTACGTTATTGGACTTATTATTGCAAAGCTTGCCTAAAATCGTTTTGTACATGTCGAGCGGATGGAGACGACAGATGATCTAGGCCGTAACGTGTTGCACACTTTCACGAAGACCTGCAGTATAAACTCATGCTTTTTGCATCTCTACATTCTCAAAGTACCAGTGACTGACACACTTATATGATTTTTATGATAAATGAGTAATTTACATGATTACGTGAAGCCCCATAGCTCACATACTTTGTATCAGAGAGTTCTTTCCATTTTTCCGACTTATCGTGAAGCAACTGAAATAAAAATAGGCAGGCGCTCTAAAAACTAATCACGCACTTAGTTGCAAGTTTTTTTAGCCACAAGTTTAGTCACTGGATTGTGGAAGTCATTGTTCTTCGATTGTCTGCTAAATCATTTCTTTTAGTTTTTCTCTGAGATGTATGCATTCAAACGAAAGAAATGAGGAAAAACCTTTGGAGTGATCTAGTATTTCAGAAAAACGGACTGATCGATGCTTAGACAATTGCAGCAGAAATCAAATTTGTAGCGGCCGGCCTCCACCACTTGTCGCTATATGATTACTTTTTCTTCGAATACTATTGGCAAGAACATTTTATAGGCACGAGGATTTTACCAGCAGGGAATCTGTCAGTCGATTAAGTAAAGTAGACGTACCAAAATTAAGAGTCAAACAATTCATTAGGTTGCAAAGAAGGTTCCAGCGCAGTTTTAGAAAACTCGTTTTTTTTTGCACTCGGTTGAACTTAAAGGCAGTTATTTCATATGATTTTGTAGAATAGAGCCTGACCTTTCCAGACTTGCATCCTGTCTTCTGAGGCGTCAATCCGTGTTTGATCTAGACACCAAAAAAGTATGTCTATGCAATGACGGAAATTTCATTTTTCTCTTTGCTACCATTTTTTCGCAGCGAACAAAGAAAAACCATTTAACAGTTTGTTACGCTGAATAAGGAGGCTGTCCACTTTGACACTGCAGCTGTGCTCGGACTTTACAGTCGCGCACAAGAATTACAAGCTTTCAAAGTTGCTTTCAATCTACCTGTTTTCGCATTAACGTCATTTCGAGGATCACGCCTCCCTGATGGGTTCAAAAGATGTGCAAGACATTAACCCAAAGTATTTGCAGCATCACGATTTGATTTTTTCCGTGGAAAGAAGGGAGACTTCAAACTCATTTACTCAAAAAATGCGGCAAGGGTGCAAAAATGGCCGATTTTTGATTTTTTTACATGCTGTGCTCTAAGATTGTGACATTTTGTAAACAGCTCCAGCGGAGTTCTACATAACTAACTAACATATATGAGCTCTCCAGCTCGCTTCGTGCCTGAGAAACTTCTGCGCTAACAAGCCGAATTTTGAGCGGACCTTTTTCTCTACTGCACATGCTAGCCCAAGATGAAGTGCTGAGTATCCAACGAAATAGGCATACCTTGTAGACAATATTGCCTTTGCAGCAAAATTTGCAGCTTGCAAAGATGAGCGGTCTACTTGAAGTTACAGCAATTTGAAAAAAAATTCGCAAGTGCCCGGGAACTTTTTTTTACAACCTAATACTTCTGATTTCAGGCAGACACGTTATTAAATAACAATTTTTGGAGAATCAATATGTAGCATTTGCCACTCTGTGTTGCTAGGGCGAATTCACTTGACATCAGGGAAAATAACTTTATTGTGATGACCAATACTCCCTACTAATGACGAGCCCAAACATAAAGAAATAGTCAGAGTAAGTGTAGGATCAAAGCAGGAATCGAATGTGCTGCAAACCAGTGTTTTTCTAGTAGGTCTTATTGTTTATAGTGATACTTCAACCTCTTCGACTTTTGACAGCCATGTGCATGTCGAAAATCACCATTCTTCCAAATTTCAGCGCTCCTTTGCATATTTGTGAGTTGATTGATTTCAGGTGTTCAAATCTCCATATGTTTTGATCCATTTGTTGTTGTTGGTAAGTAAGTAGTAATATCCTCTAACATTACGTAGATGAGGAGAGCTACAAATGAAGCTATTATTTGCCAAACGCCATCCCATTTTGAAGGTTGCATAGTGCATCGACGCTTTCGTTTTGCACGAATTTTCTGAATGAAAATTGATAACCATAAGTTACCTTATTTGACACTAAAAAGCTGTTGACACCAAAAACAAATGTCGTTTGCTAATTATTCAATACCGCTTTCAATATCGGGATTTGGCAGCAGAAATTGAAGCAAGTGATTAAAACTTAGAGAAATAAAATAGGTCGCTCCTAACCACTCCTTCCGATGAGAGACTGACAATACCGCCGCACTAATAAAGAAGTATAATTGATATCAGTCGAAAGCGATTCAAAATGAGATGCTTACTGTTGACTTATACTTGCGTTCCAGTAGTCCTAAATAGCATCACATTTCGGACCTCTGCTTTGACTACTAAGTCATTCCCTTTGTAGGTCATCGGCTGAGGCACTGCAATGTTTAGTTACTCTGTTTCTGTGCATTATGCTTCTGCAAAGCCTTTTCTGGAAATTATTGCACACTTTGCTGTGCAGAAGTATTGTTTTTTTCTGTTACAAAATAAGCATTGATGTGCTCACGGTGGAATAATGTACCACAATCAGAATCGAAGCCTCCAGCGTTAGTCTGAAAATCCCTATCAGCATGATGGTTATATTCGATTCACAAAAATTTTGCAATATTCGCACAGCAGATGTGTGACTACCGAGTTGCCGTCCAATTTTGCCAAAACCATCGCCTTCCTAACTATTTCCTTTACTTAATGTGGCTTGAGTTACCTCTCGACATAGCCACAAGCTCTACAAGATGACCAAACGTTTGCCTTAATTGCGTTTCACCTAAAGTGACCAAATGCCAGAATACTTATCTTCGGCTCGAAGTGTCCCAAAAATTCCCCACTCACCTCAGATGTATAAGTAACACAATAGACATCAACTATACACTTTCCGTATTTCTCCTTCTGTTAGAAATGGAGAAAGAGATGATACGGGTGAACTGGCAATCTCCTTCCTAGCGGTCCTGGGTTTCTCCAACAAAAGTGGTTGTATAGAACGTACGATTAGAGGTGCGACCATATCTGCACCCTTGTGCCATTTGATTACTGACTTGGCATCGGCAAAGGCGGGGCTTCGTGACCTCATTAAGGCTAGTAATGATCAGAGAGCGCTCGCGCGAGAGAGACGCAGGTGCGTCGCGGGCGAGAGCGGCCTCTATTAGACCACAACCCCCCCCCCCCCTTAATGGTGCCAAGCCAGTTGAATCAAAGGTTAGGTGCCATGGTTCTCGAAAAATATTGGTTTAGAGGTTTCAGAGTTGAAATTGAAAAAAAAAATTGAACAAGCTGATAGATACTACACAAAAAACCTGCTAAAAACAAATATTTTGAACTGGTAACTCAATATATCTAGCTACTCAAATTTCGCTCCGACAACTTTGCGCATCTGTTGAAGTGATATTGTTGGTGTTTAATAAAAATTCTAGCAACACATATCCTCCTGCAGTGGAATTCAACCGGAATACCAAAAAAACATGGTGGGATCGACGCCAGTTTCACTCCAGTCGTACTCTGCAAGTTGGTCGAGTTCTCGCTTAACTTCCTCAAAGTGTCGTTCGAATCTCTCCTCTCGTGTCGGTCTCTTTCTATTTCCGGGGTCTCTCCCATAGATAGTTGCAGCGAAGAATGTCAGTATCTGAATGAGAAGTTAATTGAGCATAACGCCAAATTTTTCATAGATGACT